ATTGTTGTTCAGGAAACAACTCAACGGATTTTGGCAGCTAGAAGGATGAAAACCTTGAGTAAACTAAAAGATCGAACGTCTGGTGTGTATTAACCATTTTGTAGGTAGCCTAAAGTTCTACTTATAATTTACTTGTACATAACTTTTAGGTGCAAAATCAACGGAGAGTGCCTGTCATCTTGTGACTTCTACTTTACGTGATAGTAATGATGGAGATATCCCTTTTTCCTTGGTGTACGTCGTTGCTAATCACAATAAAAGTGGTGAAACGGCGATCCTAATGTCCACAACTTTCGATGAAGGTCTCGAATCGGCGAATGACGATCATGGTGAAATTAGTGAATTGGTTTTTGTTAAAGGAAAATCAACAAGAAAATTACCAAATTTCTTGCTAGACACCTCCGAGATGATAAATATTATAGATGGTGAAAATAATGTAAATCATGAGACATCCGGTCGTCAAACACTGTCTACCTCGATTGCTGATGCGAATGACTTTAACACATCTTCGTGGCCAATAACGCAAGTTCAAAAATCAAATACGCATTCAATAGTTACATTAAAAAACGGCACCCGGGCAATCCTCTTTCCGGTTTACACATCTTCCATGGGAAAGATGTTATTAATTGCCATAATTATTTTTGGCCTGAATCAACGACGCGCACTCGATCAAGGGCACTTGTCATTCTTACAGGTTTGCTTACGAGTCTCAGTGTACCGCTTGCATCGATGATTTTATGAGATTGATTGAATCTTTTACTTTTATACATCAAGCTTGTTGTTTGTCACGTGAGTCGAAGCTTAACACACGGTCGATCACGCGAAGAGGAGAGAAAACAGGTCGAAGCTTTAAGGGATTTAAATAATGAAAAGATAACGTTTTTCCGAAACATAAATCATAAATTAAGAAGTGAGCATTATGAAATTACAAGTTTTACACCTCGCTTAATCTTTTCACGCATTACTAAGTTGAAATATTGGTTAAAACCATAGCGCCTTTGACACTTATACTTTCACCGCTTGAAGAAATAATCAACAACGTCTCTCTGGACCCGTCGATCCTTTCCAATCTACGAATGATCAATCGCAATGCTTGCCGACTGCTTGAATTTGTGAATAACTTGCAACAGGTTGATGTTTGTTAAAAATACAATTCTCTTCAATGTAACGGTCTTACTTATACTGTTCTTTTTCTCTCTCTGAATTAAAATTCCAGTTTTCACAAGTAGACACGAGCACGCTAGGATCCAAATTCAAAGAGATTGATGTCATAAAATGTACCCACGAGTTAACCTCAAATTTCGAAAGCGTAGCAAAATTGTTAAAACTCGATTATTCCATCCAATTACCGAGCCACGAGGAACTTTACGGCAAATTGAAGAACAAAGTATTTCTGGACAAGGAAATGTATGAAAAGATTTTACTCAATTTACGTGAGTAATACTAATTTCGATCTACATGATTCATGATAAAGACGCGTTAATCTACCATTATTATTTCAGTTTCGAACGCGTTCAACCACACTTGGA